ATCGGGCTATATCGGCCTTGACCCCGAGTCGGGCATGGGCTAAGCCTATTCCGCACCCCGGTTTACCCCATTTCTTCTGTTTCGATCTTAGAGCCCAATCTTCAAAGCTTGCCAAGAATCCTTATTTAGATCCGGTGGGCGTGGCCTCGGTTTGCACACGTCGCCTAAGTACTGAGAGGGCCCCCACAGGCTATCTGAGCGGCCATTCCTTCGAGAAGCACGACGATGAGGCGCTCGTCTGCTCTCTTCCTACTCTTCTTCCTAGTTGCATCTATCGGTAGGTTATTCTGTATCGATCATAGCTAATTGGTCTTTTGCAGCGATCTACCCTACCTTCACCAGCGCCGAAGATGAGGTAGATGATGTGAACGGAAAGGTCAACACCGGCAAAGGAAAGGGAACTGATCAGGACACGATTGCAAGGTAAATTTTATCTCTGTAAAAATAACCGGAAGTGCTCTTTTTTTTGGGTACTGATCACTTTCAATAGCAAACATAAATTTTGGTGCCACTTGCGTTGACCTTTTAATTCCTGGGAAATCGTGAATTGGGTGACCTGACTTTTCTTTTATTTTTCAAAAAAATTATTTGGGGCACCTTGACGCCTCTTCCTTCTTTCCATCATTAGGCGGAACTGTTAGGCTGGCGCGCTGGTCGGGTAACGGACTGGTTTATTTGCCGTACCGGGCTGCGTGGGGTCACCCACTATTTACTAAGAGACCGCCCAAGGCCAAGAAATCCTCGGACATTTACTTTTCTCGTCAAATACTCTCAACGTCTGGGGTGGGGCTCCACCGGTTTTTATTTGTTTAACCCCTTTGTACTTCAGTCCATAAAAACCGGGAAGCCTTCCGCGGATATTGATAAGGCTTGTGGGGGAATGGATTGATGGCGTTGCAAGTATGGGAATGAGTATAATTACGGATATTGAATAATAATAATTAAACTTTTTTAGGGAAGAAGAAGCCATCAAGCTCGATGGTCTGTCCGTGGCCGAGGTCAAGAAGCTCCGAGCGGCCGCTGAAAAACACGAATTCCAAGCGGAGGTCAACCGGATGATGAAGTTGATTATCAACTCGCTCTACCGCAACAAGGAAATCTTCCTTCGTGAGCTGATCTCTAACGCTTCCGATGCCCTCGACAAGATCCGCCTGCTTTCGCTCACCGATCCCGACCAACTCCGCGAGACCGATGACACCAGCATCAAGATCAAGGCTGACCGCGACAACAAGGTGCTCCACATCATCGACTCGGGTGTCGGCATGACCAAGAAGGATCTGATGAACAACTTGGGAACCATCGCCCGCTCCGGAACCTCCGAGTTTATGAGCAAGCTGATGGATTCTGCTACCAGCCAAGAGCAGCAACAGGTACGATTTCCTTTCGACGATTATTTGCAAATTTTCTAGGACCTGATCGGTCAATTCGGAGTCGGCTTCTATTCGGCCTTCCTCGTCGCCGACCGCGTGGTCGTCACCACCAAGCACAACGATGATGACCAGTACATCTGGGAATCTGACTCGGCCAGCTACTCCCTGACCAAGGACCCCCGCGGAAACACGCTCAAGGTATTCAGTTTTCGACTTTTCTAAACTCTTCTTTAGCGCGGAACGCAAATCACGCTCTACATGAAGGAGGAGGCCATGGACTTCCTGGAGCCGGACACCCTCAAGAACCTCGTCCACAAGTACTCTCAGTTCATCAACTTCAACATCTTCTTGTGGCAAAGCAAGACCGAGACTGTCGAGGTACCGAATAATTCGATTTTTAACCTATCGGGAATAATATCCACTCGTACTGGAAACTAACTTTACCTTTTTCAGGAGCCAATTGAGGAGGAAGAGCCCAAGGAAGATGGCGCCGTCGAGGAGGAGAAGGAGAAGACCAAGAAGGTCGAGAAGACGATCTGGGACTGGGACAAGGTCAACACCGTCAAGCCGATCTGGATGCGCAAGCCTTCCCAAGTCGAAGATGAGGAGTACAACGAGTTCTACAAGAGCGTCACCAAGGACTCGACTAAGCCCCTGGCCCATGTGCACTTCAACGCCGAGGGTGAAGTCTCCTTCAAGGCTATCCTCTACGTGCCCAACAGCTCGCCCACTGATATGTTCCAGAACTACGGAAAGGTGAGTTTTATCTACAAAATCTCAAAACTTTATTTGATAGGTTGCCGAGAACATCAAGCTCTACGTTCGCCGCGTCTTCATCACCGATGACTTCGCCGACATGATGCCCAAGTACCTCTCCTTCATCCGTGGTATCGTCGACTCTGACGATTTGCCCCTCAACGTTTCCCGCGAAAACCTCCAACAGCACAAGCTCCTCAAGGTCATCAAGAAGAAGCTCGTCCGCAAGGTGCTCGACATGATCAAGAAGCTCGAGGGCGAGCAGTTCGACAGCTTCTGGAAGGAGTTCTCCACGAACGTCAAGCTCGGTGTGATGGAAGACCCGTCCAACAGGATGCGTTTGGCCAAGCTGCTCCGATTCCAGGTAACAAATCAGTTTCATTAAAAAAACATGGTTTTAGTCTTCCAACGACGACGAGAAGCTGACTTCTTTGGCCACCTACGTGGAGCGCATGAAGGAGAAGCAGGAGCACATCTTCTACATGGCTGGCACTTCTCGCAAGGAGGTCGAAACTTCGCCATTCGTTGAGCGCCTTCTCGCCAAGGGATATGAGGTTTGTGCTTACGATTAGATTCCCTCAAATAACAAATAATTGCGTAACTTGGTTCTAACGCTCCTCAATTTAGGTCCTCTACCTGACCGAGCCCGTCGACGAGTACTGCATCCAGGCCATGCCCGAATTCGAGGGCAAGAAGTTCCAGAACGTCGCCAAGGAGGGCATCAAGATCGAGGAGGGCGAGAAAGGCGAAGAGGCCCACAAGGAACTCGAGAAGGAGTTCGAGCCCCTCACCGACTGGCTCAAGGACAAGGCCCTCAAGGACAAAATCGAGAAGGCCGTCGTGTCGAAACGCCTCGTCAAGTCGCCATCGGCCCTCGTTGCTTCGAGCTACGGCTGGTCCGGCAACATGGAGCGCATCATGAAGTCGCAGGCCTACGCCAAGGCCAAGGATCCCACCCACGACTTCTATGCCGCCCAGAAGAAGACCTTCGAGATCAACCCACGCCACCCGGTCGTCAGGGAACTGCTTCGCCGTGTTGAAGCCGACAAAGAGGACAAGAAGAGTTTGGACACGGCCGCTCTGCTTTTCGAGACAGCTGCGTTGAGGTGAAGTCGATTAAAACGTATCTTATTTTTGGTTTATAGGTCCGGCTTCTCCCTGGATGACCAGGTCGGATTCGCCGAGCGCATCGAAGCTGTGATCCGCCAGAATCTCGAGGTTTCCCAGGATGCCGAGGTAATTTAGAATCTTTCTAACTCCAATATGTTTTGTCCTAGGTTGAGGCCGAGCCTGAGCACGAGGAGTCTGTTGAAAAGGCCGCCCAGGAGGAGGAGATTGACGTCGAAGAGGAGCACTCTGAGCTGTAGAAGCAAGTCTCGTACCATCTACGCCGCATTTCCACCCACCCATTTCCACTACATCTCAACCGAGCAATACCGTTACGAGTATGCTATGCTCTCAAAAGCGCTTTCCTGTCTCAGCGCACTATCCCCCCATACACTCAAGGGTTCGGTAGTTTCTGTGTTTTTCTTCTAGTTCTTTTGTCTGTGGTTTTTCGTGGTGATCGGGATTCTTTTTCCAAAGTAATGATTGTTGATATCACCCCTCCGTGGGGGCCTCAATGTGATACGGTTTTTTGGTCAGTAATAAAGCTTTCTTGCTTCCGAATTGGACGGAAAACACAGGCTTTGCCAACCATTAATTATATCCGGCAGAGATACAAATTGGCGCTGGTGGTCTCGGCTGCGCGAAGCACACTTCCAAGCGAAAATCACTACTCCGTAATTAGGGTAACGCGGATCAATGAGTGCAACGGAAGAAGAGCCCGAAAGAATGGCGAGCCGGGTGGCAGGTATTTTTGAGGCATCAAAACTATTTCTCAAATTAGGGGTGACGTTGGAATCCGATTCGCTGCCAGAATCGGCGGTTGGGAAGAGGGTACGGCGACGACGAAAGACACGACCAAAGCAGATGGAGGTACTACGCTTTTTAACTGTAAAAACGCTTTATTTAAAAGAAGTAAGAAAATGCTAAACTAATTCTCTAGGTAGATCCTCCAGTCCCACTCGGCCCACCACGCGAACCACGCCGCCTCCAGGACCACGGCGATGGTTTCTTGACATTTGGGACATAATCTTTGCTTAGGTTCGCAAATGGACTGGCAGGTCGAAGAATCCGACATCTGCTCCACTGACTCGGGCTCCCCACGCAACCATGACGCCGATGATGAGCAGAGCGATTGGGTCGGATACGCCGGCAACGAAATGGAAGAGGTATCGCTGCGCCTAGTCTGCTGTACTCACGTATCTTCTTTCAGGCAGACGTCGCTGGCCCATCATCCGCATCCGAACGGCGACGACGATCGGGAAAGCCGTCGACCGCCATGTCCGTCATTCAAAGCAAGCTGGAAAAGTATGGTTGCCATCACTTCACCCTTTTTTGCTTTTTCAGATTTTCCAAAGATCCTGCCTCAACCGAATTAACGATCGATCTACGCGCGAAAGAACGAACACAAACTGCACAGGTATCTTTCAGCAACAACTAAACGAGTTTTATTTAGTTCAGCCGCTTCCTGCAACTCTACAAATTGGAAATTGTCCGGCGGCAACGCGGTACGATCATCCTACGCAAGCGCCGACCTACACTAGCTATCACCGCTCTCACATAGACTAACCAATAACAAAAATGTGCTAACTTAGTTGTAAATTGCGATAAATTACCGCTAGCGTATTGTGATTTAGTCTTTCCAGTGCGTCCGGGTATTTGACTTTGTCGTCATAATAAATTTGCGATTTTCGATTTTCAACGTAGAAAGCCTTTACTCATCAAATCGTACACCCGTAAAATCTTGAAAATTGCAAAATACATTCTTCACTGAAATGATTTCTTGGCTTGTAATTCCTTCAGCACTCCCTCGAGGTCGTCGTCTTCCACCTTGTTCTCCAGCGACGGGATTAATGCTTTCGCTTCCTCTGCGCTGTCCGGGCACAGATTCCCCAGTTGGGCCACCTCGAATTTGTGCAGCTCTCGCGCGCCGAAAATGTTGCGCACGGCACGGATCGTCTCGCGGTTCTTGTAGCGTGAAAAGCGACTTGCGTACTTCATTGTTTTGACGAACACCTCGCTCATGTCCTCGATTTCGTCCTTCTGATCGTTTTGCTGCCGCCGATGCTCGAGTAGCAAAAAGACTTCGGAGATCAGCAGGGAGTCACAGTGTGGATCTTCGAATTCCTTTGGAAATTTGAGGTCAACGGCGTCTTCTTCGAATGCCTCATCTTTTTGGGTGGTCATCTGAAAAGTGAAGATGTTTTTCATGAGTGATAACTGGCACAACTCAAGGAACGGAGAAAAAGGGCTTTTCAGCACGGTTATTGATATTTTAAAAGCAGTTTTGGCAAAATTCTTTAGAAAAAGTATTTTTGAAATGGAGCCATTCCGAATATACGAGGGAGATGAGAGAGGCGGGCCAGCAGAAGAGACGCAGAGAGAAATCAGGCGGATACGGTCGCTTGACCCGTTTTAGCCGCCTTCTTTTCAATGGCCGTCGCCAACGGCAAAAATTTAAAAAACCAAAATTAAAATTATGGATCAATGTCATGAAAGTCACAGGTTTTTTCTACGTTAACTACAAAATAAAGAAGGCACTTATATTTGTGCTTCAGCTCAAGTATCCATATTTATTTCTGGACACAGTTTCACCATTTTTCAAATCACAATCGAGTTTTTAGTAGCTTTATAAGAGTCGGGTATTGCTTGGCGGTGACGTTGTCGCTACTGGACGGCCGTGTTGGTGGTGATCGTCGTGACGGAGCGTTTCTAAAGTGATTTTAACGTTTTTGATGGCCGAGCCGACCCCATGTCCCTTCGACTTGTTGAGGGCGGCGCGCGCGGTGGGCGTCTGGATGGCCGAGAACTAAGAAAAAGTAAGTCTTCTCTGGTTTTCCTTTCGTTTTCACCTCAGTGGGCATGCTCTGCATCGTGGTGGCGGTGTGCATCGTGGTGGTGGTGCGATTCGGCGTTCTCTAGGCGTTGCGAAGCTTGCTTAGCTTGATTTGTGCTACCAAATCAGCGGCAATCATTGGTCGCAGCTGGGAGGCCGGCTTCAGCTTGGCGGGCGTGGTGCCGGGAGGTGGGCGACAACGGCCGGATCTGGAAAAAATAGCGTATACCGTTTGGAAGGTAACTACATAGAAAAGTATGTGGTAGTAAACGCGCTTAAACTTACTGATAGCTGTTGGTGTAGGGGGTCGGCTCGACCTCGAGTTCGCGCTCCTGTTGCGGCGTCACCTGGATTTGTGTCACCTGCACACAATTTTGTGGCCTTGCCGTTTTTTCAGGGGATTTATCTTTATTTCAAGTGGAAAACAATTAAAAATTAATCTAAAAAAAATTTTGGTCGAAAAACCGGAGCTAGTTAAGTTTGATGGCCCCAAGGGCGTCAAAAAATTTTTGCCGATCGTGCATCCCCGATCGGTGTAAAAACGGGTATTCTGGGGTAGTTTGATGCGCTGAGTTCGAATTTGTCACTCTTAGACTACAAAAATTTAATTTTAGACTACAAACTACAAAAAGTCGAAAATCCCCAAAACAAGCCAAAAACACCTCTCCGGGGTGGTTTTTCGCGCTGAATCCGAATATAGCAATGCCGCAAGGCGCAAACCCCTATATTTTATCATTTCATGACTTGTAAGCCACATTTGGGACAAGTCCGAGTGTTGTGAAGCGGTCCCAGGCTTACAACCAGTCATAATAACGACAGCGAAAGTAGTCAAGGGGTACCGCCTAGCAAGGTCCAAAACAGCGAAGCCCCGTGGCTGGTCCAAACTAGCATTCATGCTTGAGCATAAAAGTGAAATTCATTTCAGAAATCGGCTTTTATAGCGTGCTGCAATAACATTATACCCGCGGGACCCGATGGCATAATCACGTTAACCGTGATAGGCTTGCGGATTCACAGCATTTAAATGTATTGTTGTTAATTTTCAGATTTTCTGCGTTGTAGTGTATAGTATATACGGGTTTACGCGTTGCGGCATTTTTATATTCGGATACAGCGCGAAAAACCACCCCGGAGGGGTGTTTTTGGCGTGTTTTGGGGATTTTCGACTTTTTGTAGTTTGTAGTCTAAAATTAAATTTTTGTACTTTAAGAGTGACAAATTCGAACTCAGCGCATCAAACTACCCCAGAATACTCGTTTTTACGCCGATCGGGGATGCCCGATCGGCAAAAAATTTTTGACGCCCTTGGGGCCATCAAACTTAACTAGCTCCGAAAAATTTTCGCTATTCATTTTATAAGAATTGAAACCCTAAGAATAAGGTTCGTCCCCCCCGATATTGCGCAAGAACCGAACAACTGTCATAAAACATGCTTGTAAAATTTAGCATGTTGTTCTTGGTGTCTTACTCGCTCATACCCCCCAAATTCACCTCAATAGCGACGAGCATCAGCTTCAAGTCGCTGTGCTGCACATTGAGCGTCAACTTGGTCACCAGCGTGCCCAGCACAAAGTTCTCGCCGCCGATGGTGATGCCACGCGCGGGCACGACAACCGCGTACTTCTTGTCGGTCATCTTCTCCATGAGCCGATGGAGCATGTGGGCCAGATCGAGGGGCCAATCGGCCGTCGGCTTTTGCATCAGCTCCTCCGCGTCCTTCTCCATGCACTTTTGGACCTCGTCGCCACGCTGGCAGCCCGGGTCGACTTGGAAGATGAGTTGATTCTGGGGAACGGGCGCTTCTTTGTCTTTCTGCTTGTCCAGGCTGAAGTGGCGTATGGGGGTACTGAACTGTTAGCAGGGGGACAACTAATTATTGTTTCTTTCCAGCCGATACCTAACTGTTATCTGTTAATAAAAAATAACTTATTTTTAAAATATTCTTAGTAGATTTTGATTGCTAATATCAACAAAAATTTACATTTTTTGAAAGCACGAAAATGTCCACTTTTTTGGTCGTTTTTATGCATTTTTTTAAGCAATTCAAAAGTTTTAGAAGATTTTTAAACGTTTTTATGAACTTATATCTAAAAACTGTGTAAAATGCCATAAAATGGTTTGGATTTTTTATAATAGCATACAGGATTACTGCGTAAAATTAGTTTCCCCTCTAACCCCCCCCCCCGCTAACAGTCCAGTACCCATTTTGGAACCATTCAAGAATGCTTACACAGCTCTAATCGAGACTCGCGTCGGTTTGCGTTGGTAGACCTGGAGCTCCGGGGCTGCCCGATGCTCGCCGAGCGGGGTCTTGTAACGGGCGTGCGGTCGCGAGAAGATGGCCAACGTCTAAGAGATTCGTATTTTATTTGAGTTTGATCTCCTCACCTCGACCCACTCATCCTCCTGCTGCTCCTCGTCGGTTTTCCCGTAATATGTCTAAACCAAGAAATATAGGGTGACCCTGACAATCGAGCCTTGTTCAGCTGCCACTCCTTGTAGATCCACCCGACGAACGCCATGATGCAGCAGATCGCGATCGCGCATACTAGCAAACCAGGTTGAGTGAGCAGAAGATGCAAAAACCGGAAATGACCATCGGCAACCGTTCGCCCATCGGCACGTGGACCCAGGCCTTGCAGTGCTGGCAGAAGCCCTCCGACTCGCAGTGCATCATGGCTGCGCGAACTGTGAATGATGGAAACTTGCTTGGCCTTGAGCTTACGAAACTTCAGATGCGAGTATCGTAATCGTTATTTAAATTGCTAATTCTAAATCCTGGCAAAATTCAGTGCTTTGGCATTACCGGGCGGGGGATGAATTTTAATCTAATAAGTGGAGAAATGCCCAACAATTTACTAAGAAGTTTTGGAAATTTAAAAATACAAAATTGAAAAAAAATTGGCAAATTCGAAATTGGCCATTTTGCGCCAAAATCAAGATTTTTTAATTTTTTAATAAAAATATGTGTGTTTTTACGTGTTAGAACAGTGAGAATATTTTAGAACGATTTTTTCTTTGCGATGTTAGAAAAATTGGATCCTAAAAGAAAAGTTCCTCGCCGACAATTCCTCCCCCGATAATGCCCAAGCACCCAAAAGTTCTATTTTTTTGTATTTTTTGCACGGGCGTCGATTTGTCTTGTTTTTTGCATATCTGGAATTAAGGTGTGTTTTTATGTTTATCAGGCCGAATTAAAATCATTCGCAAGAAACGTCGATCATTCGAGTTGTGGCAGGATCGGGGCGTAGATGAAGGTGGAGGTAGAGGCGCGGGCCGGCTCGTCGGCGGCTTCATCGAAGGGGAGGAACAGTAGTAGGTGTTTCTGAACTTGTTGATGACGCTGGGGTAGATGTTCAAACCTGGGCGTCAACGGCGAGGCACTCGATTCGCTTGACCGCAGTTTCCAGGTCTATTCGCTTCACTGGGTCGACGGTAAGACATTCGTCGATTAGAGATTTCCTAAAAGAATTCGTGAAGCGCGAGAGAGAGAGAGGGAGAGAGAGAGAGTGAGAAGAGAGAAAGATAGAAATATTTTTCAGCTAAAACCTACATAGCCGGCCCTAAATAATTCGGGTGGTCGATACGCGCGGTTTCTTTAGGTATCCGCAGCATCAACTCGGCGTCATCCCGTATTCTCGCGTAGGGCGTACCACCTTCAAACCGGAATCCAACGAAGCAAAGCAAAACCGATACCTAGCGACGAAATCTCCCAGAGCACGACCCCAAGAGACCAGACGAGGTCGGCTTCTTCGAGCCGTGTATCCCGAACTGCTTGGAGTAGCCGTGGCGATCGCCAGCGCATCGTTTTCGGGGTCTTCTCGTCTTTGCGGGCGGTTAAGGCCCGGTGCTCACAAAGGCCGAGGCCACTGATTCGTATCTAGACATAGGTGTATTTCGTAGTTTTTAGTTTCCCTACGTGTCCGCGATCGCCGACAAGGATATTGGCCGTGCAGAGGGTCGGGTGGAAAATTTTTCTTCGGCAAAGCGTTTCGACGCCGGTGGCAATTTCTGGAAAACAGAATGAGGGCTTTCTCCCACTCCCTCTCTCTCTTCTTATCTCTCTCTCTCTCTCTCTCTCTCTCTCTCTCTCTCTCTCTCTCTCTCTCTCTCGCTATCACCCACCTCGCATCATCGAAAAAAGCCGCTCTGAAGAGAGGAAAGACGCAGATCTAAAAGAAAGGCTTTCCTAAAAGATGGCCAAACTACCGTAAACTTCCGGAAGCAAATCTCGCGCTCCGGGATTCTCGAAGAACCGAGCGTAGATCTGGCTCCCAGAGTGGGTCGAGGGCGACGAGGGCTGCTTCTGAAATAGCTGGACTTTATGGAGAGAAAGAGAGAAAGAGAGAGAGAGAGAGAGAGAGAGAGAGAGAGATCTAAACTAACCATTGTTATATGCAATTCCATGAATAGACACATGGTGCGCAGCAGTTCCAGCTTGAATCCCGACCTCCAAGCTTCGAACCAACCCCTTCATTTCATCTTCCGTGAGGGCAGTTTGCGCTGGAAACAAACGTAAAATTGGAAGAGAGAGAGAGAGAGAGAGAGGAAGAGAGGAAGAGAGAACGAGAGAGGTAGAGTTCCCTAGCGTACCTTGTAGCCAATAAACTGTAACATCCTGTGTCCCTCCGGTCTCCGTATGCCACATTCCACGGTGTATCGACCCGAAGCGCCCCTTTCCAACCAGTGCGCAGATGTCGATGTCGCTGGCGGCGATGTTCTTCAGGGAGAGGGTGGCCGAGCTGAAGAAGTCGGCACTATAGGGTGCCCCAACACTGAACCCTTCTAGCGATCGGAGCATGAAATATAGAGACAGGGAGAGGGAGCCAGAGAGAGAGAGAGCGAGAGAGAAAGAGAGAGAGAGCGAGAGAGCGAGAGAGGGAGAGAGAGAAAGAGAGAGAGAGAGAGAGAGAGAGAGAGAAAGAGTAGGAATCGTCAACTACAGTTCCGATCTCACTTGTATCTGTAAGCAATCTCATCCATGCTCGTCTCGATATCCACCTTCTTCGCGGCATCGTCTAGCAGGGGCTGTTCGGCAGCCGGCTAAATATTCCATTACCTTCCATACCTACACAAGTCCGGGCGGTTATTTACCAAGATCCTCAAGCCTTAATTTTGTATTTGCAATTTTTTTTGCTAAAATAAATCCTGGAAAACCAAAAAAGTCTAGACTACGTAAGAACTGACCGTGCGTCGTAAATTAAAATTATTGCTATTATACTAATTGCTAAATAATACGTGGATTAATGTCTATTAATGGGTTGGATTTTTCTGTATCACTGACTCTGTATACTGGGGTTCGTTAAATAAGAAGGGTCCGGGCATGTGAGCACGAAAATTTCCGTCTATCTCTGTCTCACTCTTACTCTCTCCCCTCTTTCTCCCTTTTCTCTCTCTCTCTCTCTCTCTCTCTCTCTCTCTCTCTCCCTTTTCTCTCTCGCTCTCACTTTCCCCACTCTCTCTCATCACTCTCTCCCTCGCTCTTTCCTTCTGTACTGTAATTAGTGTTTTCCTTGTTACATGGTATTTAAATTTTAGTGGCCTCCATCAGATGTCAGCTATCCCCCCACTTGGCTTGCCTGTGAACAAGTATCATATCCATTTATTGATTCCACAACTTTCAGCCACCAAATACTGAAAAAGAGTGCAGAGAGGGAGAGAGAGTGAGAGAGAGAGAGAGAGAGAGGGAGAGAGAGCAGAGCGAGAGAAAGAGAGAGAAACAGTGAAAAAGCAAAAGATTGGACACGAGAAACGCTCTTTTTCTCTCGCCTCTCTCACTCTCTCGCTCCGTTCCGTTTTTTTGCAAAATCGACTTGTCATGACTCGCCAAGCGGGGAGGGCTAAGTCTAGGCCAGAGCTTAAGCCTAAGCCCAAGCCTAAGCCACCTGATTGTATGGCCGTAGGGTTATTCCACTCGCCTGTGTTACGGTAGTTGCGGGGTATGGTAGTGTTTTAGTGTCTTTTATCGAGTCAGTAGGGTGTACGGTAGCCCCGTGGCGGGACAGGGATACGGTAGATGGGGCACACAACAAAATTAATGTCAAGAAAATCTCAGTTTTCTGGGCGGGAGAAGGGGAAGGGGGGCTGCTGTGATATGCGGGGACACTAACGGAACGGCGCGGATCACAACGACATTTGGGGGATACGGTAGGGTACGGTAGGCCAGGGCAATGTTTAGGAAAACAAAGAAAATCGAGTGGAGGAACGGGAGATTGGTGCCTTGCGGAAAAGGGTTTATTGCGAGGGGATGGGCCGGAATCCGAGTCCAAATTTGTCTATGGATTGGAAATTAAAAAACTGCAGTTCTGGCGGCTTTGTATTATGTAGTTTGTAGCCTGTAGCTATAATGTGTGTAGTATATAGTATGTAGTTTTGTAATGTGTTGCTTGTAGTCTTAGTTCTGTAGTTGAGAGCCTATGGTTTTGAACAGTTTAAGATATGCAAAATCGCATTTTGCGTTCATTTTTCATTTGTAGCCTGTAGATTTGGTTTTTGAAAATGGAATTAAAATACAAAATAGCGTTTTTGGAGTTGTATTTTGTAGTCTGGAGCCTGCAAAACAGCAAAGTAATCAAAATGACAAATAGATCTCGGATTCGGATCCCTTAATAAAAAAAGCATATACAAAGTACCGTCTATTCCAAAATATGGATTTTTAAAGGGACAGGGAACCTAGCGGGGGGTTGGTTTTTTTGCTCAAAAACCTCAAGGGGGTGGGGGCCTGAGAACAACGAAAAATATCAAGGAAAAAAATCAAAACGCACAACTTGACTAGAGACACGTTTCAGCGGCCAGCGGGGAGTCGGGGGATGCAAATTTTGGTATGCAAATTGCCGGGTATGCAAATCTCTGGGGGGTTGGGGAAAAATCGAGCAGGGGATATGGCTAGATATTGCTATGGTAATCATTTTGGGGGATTTTAAAGCATAGTTTAGCGGGGGGTATAAAAAGTAAAATGCTGAATGAAATGGGGTCGGTTTTAAAGGGATTGTGAAGTCGATAATGCAGTCCATAGAATTTTTTTTGGCTTCAGAGGTCTTTTAAGAGATTTAAGACCGCTTTAAGGGGCTTCGGAGCTTGGAAAAGTTGATCCAAAAACCAGTTATTGCCTTCACAGCTCCTTAAAAAGTCTAAGACTGGCTAAAGGGGGCTGATGAAGCCTGCAGAAGCCAATCTATAAACTGATTCCGACTTCACAAGCCCCTGAAAAAAAGCAAAATATCGATTAAAGGAGATGTGAAGTCTAAAAAAGTTTATCTATCAGCGGAATCCGACTTCACAAGCCCTTTAAAACAGCGAAATAACGATTAAAGGAGCTGTGAAGTCGCAAAGGATAAATCTATATGCAAAATATGGCTTCACAAACCCTCTTAAAACATTAAAATATGCATTAAAGGGACAGTAAAGCCAAAATCCAAAACCTACAACATGACTTCACAACCCCTTTAAAAATCAAAGCGGCGAGCATATAGGAAAAACGAGACACCGGCATCATTAGTGGATTTGGGGTACGGGGAGAGTTGGGGGTGGTGGGCTATGCAATTTATGCCTCCCCCGCCTCTACGGGTTCATTTGCATGCGCTCGGGGCTCACCAGCTGATGCGACGTCGACTGCGAGGCGGCCTCGTACCGCACGCCGTTGGCCGTCTTTTGGTGGTGCTGGAAAATAAATCAAGTAAAATTTCCTTCTAAACTTTACTAATTTAAAATGAACCGTTTGGGGGCTTTAATTCCGAGTTAAAAAGTTGATAGTTTGAAAAACCCGGCATGGTCAGTTTTTTTCAGGTTTGCAAGGCCCCGACGTCACCAAGGAGGGCAGGTTTTCGGAAATTGTTTCATTCGAATTTTAGCGAATTTCAGCAATTTTCGTTTCATCAAAAATGAACGGTGAATTTTCCCTGCGTCTCTCTCGCTCTCGCTCTGTCTCTCTCTCTCTGTCTCTCTCTCTCAATCTCTCGCTCTCGCTAGTGAGAAATTCTCAAGAAAAATTCACGCACTTTAGTAATAGGTTTAATTTTTCAAAACCGACCTTCTTCCTGACGAGCCATCGCCGCGCGCCGCACACAACGCAGATGAAGATGATGCTGCCTGAAATCACGATTCAGACGATGAATCGGAGAAACCCAAAAAAGCTTTTCAAAATCCTTACCGGCGACGGTGACGGCGAACACCCATCGTGCCAGGTGCCATCGGCTTTCCGTAGAGAAGAAGTCGCGGATGTGCTAGAAATTTAGGTTTTTAAGATAGCGAGAGTCTGAAGCCAGAAACGCGTGAGCATGACCTAAAAACCCGTACTCACCGAATGCCAGGGCTTGCCCTCCTCCTCCTCGTCCTCATCATCCTCCTCCTCACTTCCGCTTCCGCTTCCATCCTCGTTTCCTTCTTCGTCCTCTTTGACCTCGTCCTCCTTCACCCCATCGAGCTCCTTCACCACCTCCTCTTCGCCCTCCTTCTTCTCAGCTTCTTCTCCCTCCTTCTCGTCCTCCTTCTTCTCCTCCTCTTCGTCCTTCTTTTCCTCATCTCCGTCCTAAATTATGAGTTTATTCGTCACTTGGATTGAGCACGACTCACCTTATCCTCCTTCTCCTCGTCCTCCTTCTTCTCCCCACTCTCCTTCGCAGCTTCAGCGGCCAGTTTCTCCTCTTCTGCCTCATCGGCTTCATCACCCTCCTCCTCGTCTTCCTTCACCTCGTTCTCTTCCTTCTCCTCCTCTTCATGTTCTTTCTCCCCGTCCTCCTCCTTCTTCTTTTGCGCATCATCGGCGAAGAAGTCGGTTCCGGGGATGTTCTCGGCCTCTCCTTGCTGAAATTAGCTTTTTAAGGCGTCTGGAAGTCGAAATTGCTTATGGATTTTCACTTCCGGGTCCCTTTAAAACTTAAGAAGCTCAAAATTTGCTTCTAAGATTAAACAGAGGAAAATGATACTGACCTCCTCGCTGACGGTCTCCTCACTTTCTTCTACTACGGACGCTTCGGCAACCTTGTCCTCCTTGGTGACGTCGGCACCCTTGATTGGCTCCTTGTGGACTGAAAGGGAAAGTTATTAGTTTAGACAATCGATTTCTAGCTCCTGCTCTCTCACTCTCTTGCTCCCCTCACTCTCGTTCTCCCTCGGCGGATGCACTAATAGGTTCGACAAACACACCCTCAGCTCCCTGAGCAACACCAGCATCCTCGAGCCCAGTGCCAAAGATCTCTGGCTTCATGTCGTGCACGAGCGTCTCCGACTCGACCACCGTCACGATGTCCTCGAACGGGTCGGTTGAGCCGGGCTAAAAAAAGAATTTTAATAATTTGGAGTTTCCGCACCCGAACTCGCAGCTGACGCGGCCTGCGCACCGACACTTTGTACGTGAAGTTGACGTGCGTGGCGCCGGCGAAGACGTCGCGGTCAAAGTCGACCTCCGGCGGGAGATCATCATCGTACTGGTAGTTCTGAAAATCGGCGGTTTGAGCATGAGCATGAGCATGAGCACGATAAGAACGTCTGGATTCATTTTAGCGATAAATATTATTTCGACAAAATTGCAATAAGCCGCTTGCGCTGACCTCAGAGTGTTCGTACTCGTCCTCGCCGGCCTTGTCCTCGGTGCTCATGCCGATGCGCAGCTGGGCCGTGCAGATGTGGGTGGGCACGCCGGAAGTGTCCTCCTTCGTCATGACGTCACCGTCGCAGTGGTCGGGGAGCTGGAAGATTTGGTTAGGCTGAGGCTTAGGCTTGCTAGTCTTGACCTAGACTTACTCCTTATCCAAAACTGGAGTCGCACTCACCTTGACAACATAGGAGTACGTCAAGGTCAAATTCTCCAGGTCCAAATCCTTCCAGTAGGGCTCCTCCCAGAACGGCTCGACCGTCACGATGACGTTCTTCTTCGAGTTGACGGCAAGAGCAGCAACTGGGGCTTGGAGGGCTAGAAAAAAAACCGTAGAAAGCGGGTTTCGACATTTTAAAGGGATGTTGAAGCCAGAAATCCATACCCGAGTGGTAGCAAACGTTGTAGAGCTGCATGGTGATGTTGGCCGGGTGGGTGGTGCTGGCCAGTCGGTTGTGGCAGTTGGCCGGGACGGCGTGCGCGCATGAGCATGTTGACATCTTGAAAATTTAGGGATATTTGGAACAGACTGACAAAAATGAACGCGTTGCGTACGCGGTGCGTGCGCCGCGCGGTTGCGTCGCGGCAATCTAGAGTTAGCGTCACGCGACCGCAACGTCGCAAAATTCAGCGCGTCGCGGGCGCGTTGCGCCTTTTTGAAAGGCGCCAAGATGTTGAGAGGCGATGTAGTTTTGTTTTGGAAGCCGCAATGCGCACGCAACGCGTCAAAACTTTGCTTTAAAGGGAGCGCGACAGCTGCCCATTTTTCCACAAAAATCCACACCTGCTGAGTTGAAGCTTGACGTTTAGAGCGGTTGAGCAGCCTCGGCTTCAGACAGACACTGAAAATAATAAAAATAAATTTATAAAAATGTCAAACTGTTCTCTAAATTAAAATTTTGAAGAGTACTGGCTAGTCAAAAAAGGTAGAAAAGATTGTTGCCGTCAAAAATCCCCTCCCTGAACAAACCTGTATCCAGCCGCCGCACACTGTGAGCAATCCCGGCATGGCTCCGAGCTGAGTGTCTCCTCGTTTACGATGCGTTTCTTGCCTAAAATCTGCCCATTTCTAAAACGCACCGAAAATACCGTAATCAAAAGAGGTGGCCGGGCACTGGAGATCCACACATTGCTGCGGGGCGGCGCTGTGTTGGTGGAGGCGGAGGGCTCTGGAAAATGAGGGTAAAACGTATCCCGCTCTCTCTCTCTCTCTCTCGCTGGCTCTCTTTTCTCTCTTTTTCTCTGTCTCTCGCGCTCACGCACACTCAATTTTTTTCTGTATTCAAGGTTTGGCCATGTGTCCAAAAAAGTTTCGTTGAAAGAGAGAGGGAGCGAGAGAGAGAGAGAGAGAGAGAGAGAGAGACGGAGAGACAAACAACTGAATCCGCTTTAAATTTTATCCCTCCTACCGTACCCGGCTGTCACTGCAAAGCTGACCAGCAGCCACAGGCGCATCTCGTAGTTTCTCTGCCTGGTGTTGCCCCGCGAGTCGAGGGTAGTGGATTCGGCTGGAAAATTGGAAATTAAGTGCTAAACTTTAAGAGGCAGAGAAATCGGTCGATCGATCGATCGATCCCATGGAAAAATGCAGAGAAATCGCGGAAACTAGATTAGGGAATTTAAAAAAGCACAAAGAAATTTTTGGAGGTCTGAAAAGGAACGGCTTATCATGTCAACATAACTCTTCCGGGGTTCCATATTTTATTGCTTGGGTTTAGGGCTTTACTTTTGGTACTGAAGGATCAGGTGAGTCAGGTGAGAGAGAGAGAGAGAGAGACATTGAGACAGAAATCACAAGCAAAAATAGTGTCCAAATCGATACTGGCAACAATAAGCAGCCGGTCTGGTTGAAGAGACGTGGATGATTGTAGCAGTTGACTATTTGCTCATCTTTTGCTTGACACACAGCCTGCTTCTCCTCTTCAAAATGAATGGATGGCAACCCCCCTACTGTTGGAGATAGACGCTAATGTTTGCATTGCAATTTCGAAACGGTTCCTGGAAGTTGGGTAAGGTATTTTGACGGATTTGTCATCGATGGAGCTGATAGATTTTGAATTTAAAGGGATGGTCAAGGCTTGGTGGAATTTTATGGCTAGTTCAGCCACACACGTTTTAAACCATAAAAAAATTAAAACGCAGGATTGGTCGGAGAATTGTATTGGCTGATTTTCCTGAAAATAATGCTAGAAGAAAAGAGAGTGAAAGAGAGAGAGAGAGAGCGAGCGAGTGAGAGTGCGAGAGAGGAAGAGGGAGTGAGAGTCCGAGAGACAAAAGTGACTAAGAGTGAAAGAGAGAGAGAGAGAGAGAGAGAGAGAGAGAGAGAGAGCGAAGCAGAGAGAGAGAGAGAGAGTGAGTGAGCGAAGCAGGGAGAGAGAAGAAAGAAAGCGAAACAGAGAGAGAGAGAGAGAGAGTGAGAGTGCGAAAAAGCAAATTAGATAGCGAGCGCGAGAGATGGAGAATGATATAGAGAACTCGGGGTAAGGGTTCAGCCCCTAAAATAGAAAAGTTTTCAATCAGCTCAATCCCTTTAAAATTACAGTAACCCGTGAATACCCGCAGCCGAATTTCCCGAGAACAATCACCCAATGACCGCGTCGATTTGGTGCGTGTGGGCGTTGGGTGAATGGCCGGAATGGAAGCTGATCAGATGGCGGTGGACTCACCGGTAGGAGGATGGAAGGGCAAACATCTGATGGCGAGAGAACAAGGGAGAGAGAGACACCCAGAGATAGGGAGAGGCAGAAGCCGGCTGAACGGCATCGCCCCCCCCGCCGCCAGCAATCAACTCAAATAGAGAAGTTTCGCTCGCCAACCCATCCCCCCCCCCTTGCTATCAGATTGAGATCGGAAAATCGAGGTGGAAATCGAAAAATTTTGAGGTGCAGAAGATGAGCGGGTTTTGGAAGGGGTGGGATGGCCGAGAAGGGCAAACTGGCATGGATTTTTGTGGAATTTAAAGGTGGTCAGGACTAGCAGTGATTATTGCGAGCCGTTAGACAGTTCGGGCAAGCTAGCAGAGACCGTTTAGGAACGCTTACAAGGGCAATCTGGCAGAGACGATTAGGGAATCTGAAGGAGGGGGATGACTCGTAGAGATCTTTGAGAATCCATAGACGATTTGGCGAGCTAGCAGAGTCCGCTTAGGAAGGCTGGCATAAGCAATCAGGCAGGGATTATTGGGGAAATTTCAGTAGATAATGGTGATTTTTGTAAAATGAAGCTTTCAAGGCAGGCTAGCAGAGATTCTTTTGGAAAAATTATACGCGACGGGCAAGCTAGCAGTGCCGTTTGAGGAAAGGTAAAGTTTTAGTGGGCAACCTAGCAGAGACTCTTTAGGATTTGAACCGACCCGGCAAGCTAGCAGAAATTTTTGGATACGTATCGATCCTGGAAAACTAGCAGAGATTCCTGAGGCAAGGCCAGTTTCAGTGCGCAAGCTTGCAGAGCTTCTTTAGGATTCAAGACATTGGCAAGCTAGCAGCGATTCTTTGGGAGGCTAAACCTTAAAGAAATGCTAAATCTCTAAATTAAATCAAGAAAACTAGCGGAGGTTCTTTAGGAAATTTTTTTCCGGCGGGCAAGCGAGCAGAATCCATTTATCCAGCAAACGAACTGTCGGAAATGACCTCAAATTTGGGTATTAATGGGGTCTAGGGAACAGAAAATCCGAAAAAACCAACGCCGGGGGGCTGGGTTTGGATAAAAAGTGAAGGAGAAACAACAGCTGTGCCCTCGGGGAAACACTGGGGAGGACGAGTAAATTTGAACCTAAAGATTTATGGGGTTCTTGAGTGTTTTAAGGTGAAAAATGGGCATTATCTAGCAATTTGCATGTTTTGAGCAGGTCTGAATTTTCCACCTTCGACAAAAATAAAATTTTTGTAGTGAATTTTAAATTTTAAATTGCTGCAGTTTAAATTTTTTCTATTTAAAAAAAATATCACTTGGTTTCTGCGTGTTTTAAGTGTATAAACTTCATGGAAATCAAGGAATCTACATTCAGAAAAATCCCAGAATTAGTCAGAATATTTTTGTTTGAAAACTAAAATTGGATTTTAATGATATTTAAATAGCAAATCGGCTTTTTATATTTTGGCGTTACTAAACAACAAAGAAATTATGAAATCTTGGCAAATTTGCATCTAGAAAGGCGTAAAATTCTAGAGATATAGAAATTTCCGATTTTTCGGCCAAAACGTTCTTAGGAGGTATTTTTGGCGCTTTTCTACATTTAAAATTCGTTTATTTTTGTAAAAAACGAGCAAAACCTTCATTCACCCCTAAATTCTCGAAATCCGGAAATACCCCAAAACTTCGAATTTTACGTAAGAACGGATTTCAAAACGTCGTTTGTTTTTTGGCCCGTGCGGCTCCTTTTAAAGCGTCTCTACGGCCGAGGGGGATCGGATTCGCATGGAAAACGCGGCGTTTCGAGATGCCCTTTTCTGGCCAAAAATTCGGCAGGCAAAATGGGCGGCAGGGGGCTGGATGCGCTGTTTGCGCAGCTCGGATTTCGCTCTATATTGGGGAGTGAGCAGCAGCGGGGATTGGGAAAGTCGATTGAGTCGACTTTTTGCATGGAGATTGATCGGCGAAATTCTAGCAGAATTCCTCGAGAATCGGGTAGGCTAGCATGGCCTCCTTGAGAACCGGGGAAGCTAGCGGAGATCCTTTAGGGACGGGGAAGGTAGCAGAGATGCCCGAGAAATCGAGCCCGCTAGCAGGGATCCCTCAGGAATCGAAGAAACTAGCAGGGATTCCCTAGGAATCTGAAACATTACCCTGACGAGCGAGTTAACAAAGATCCTTTAGGAATTTTCGGATCAGTCGGCAAGCTAGCTGAGATTTTTAGGAAATTGAGCATCAATGGGCTTGCCAGCAGAGATTATTTAGGAACTTTAGACCAGCGGGCAAGCTAGCAGAGATTCTTTATGAAAGCTCCGGTCACTAAGCAAGCTTGCAAAGTTTCTTCAGGAATGCGCTACCCCCGATGAGCAAACCAGCAGTGATTATTGTGGAAGTAATATCTCTCCCGACTCGCAATACCCGAACCCCGTCAAAACGCGCACGAAGATGATGCGTCAGCGCGCGTGTGGGGGTGAACACAGTGGTGCTTCGGAATGTTGTTCCCAAAAAGGGGTGCAGCCCGGGGTCTTTCTGAATGCGAAAAGAATATGCAAATGAGGGGAACGAACTCTCGCCCGGCGGCTTTCTTTGCCAAACTCTTGTAAGACGTCAATTCGTACAGTCTCGTACTATCCGGCACATTTCCCCAAAAAGGGAAATCGAGCAGAAAAATTGAGGGGAAACCATTGTAAACAGCTGAGATGGTGGGAACGGTTCGATTTTGGGGCAAGAGAAAGAGAGAGGGAGAGAGAGAGAGAGAGAGAGAGAGAGAGAGAGAGAGAAAGAGAAAGAGAGAAAGAGAAAGAGAGCGATAGAGAGAGAATGAGCGAGAATGAGAGAGAGAGGAAGAGAAAGAGAAACTTCATAAAAGCCTTCCATAAATCGAAATTAACTGTTTTCTTTACGCTTTCGAAATTGGTGCTTTGGCATTATCGGGGCGGGGGGTTGGGGAATTTATCGGACGGACTATTCCTACTCCAAAACTTTAGAATTTTTCTTAAAATTTGAACAATACAAAAAAAATCGATTTTTCCGCTTAAATATCTTCATAATGCCCAAACTTTAAAAACTTTGGATGATTTTTCGATAATTTTTGACTTAAAAATAGTTAAATTTTACCAAAAGCATTATTAAAGCATTTAATTTTAGGTTATTATTACTTGATTATAACGCCACATAGATGAAAAAATTTGTAGCAGTTTTTTTAGACAATTTTCAACCCTAAAAATTAAAATTCTTGTTTTTACGAAATTAGAAATTATAATATTACGGTAGAACAGACCAAATATGTTAAATCCGATACGCCGTACACACCAAATTCTGGACAGCTAGGCCACCTGGGCCCCCCAAGCTCATGGGCGCTTGTAAATCTGCCTCACCCCCCCATCTATGGTCCGAAATCGCCCGGTTTCAAAGGATTTAAAAGCGGTAGTCGAGAACTCGAGAACGGTCGTTAAACTCGGGGGGTTGGGCCCTAATTAGCGGTCAGTTAGTGCCGGGGCCCACTCGATTTAGACTGGGCCCTAGACCACCCCCAGTCGGGGGTCTGTTGCATTGCTAATTTTATGGCCTGCGGATGGACCTTCTCTTTTTCTGGCCGCTCACAAAAATGAACTTTCCATTTGTGGGCCCCTAGTCTTGCTTAGGGCCCACCTCTAGGGCCCATAAAATGGAGTGGTGAGTACGGGAGCGGGAGTACGTACGGCAACTATCGCGTGGGCTAAAATAAGGTTTTTAGCGGTAAATAAGTCTAGGAACTAAATTAAAGCTGATCAGGTACTGGACTCTTAACGGGGGCTAATTTTTATTTTCTCGCCTGAACGCCT